GTGTTTATAGATCTACTTGATTTGAATTATTTTTGGAGTCTAAAATTTTATAAAAATTAGAATTTTAGGCTATCTTAAGAAATTTTGATGTCAAATTTACATCTTGTAATAAAAATTGGTGGTGCATCTTACTTTTAATTGTTTAAGATTGCAACCTTATGCAAAACCATACCCACCAAAAAAACATAAATTGAGAACAATGGAGATCCATCCTCTTGAGGTCCAATAATATGCGTGACCGTTTACGTCAACAAAACTCTAGAAAATTTGATATGCACCATTTTAGGAGCTCTAATACAAGTTTTTTAAGGGCAGAGAGGATTTAAACATGTGGGTGGGAAAAAATAAAATGGAAAATGGTTTGATAGAGCTGCAGCCCTATCAAAATAAGTAAAGCCCTCATAATTCATTGAAAATGGTAATTCTAAGTATTAAAAATCTTTGATCATCTCAACTTATGGTCCTAAAAAAATTTAGGATTTTAAGTATTTTCAGGACCATCAATTTCGCCCTAAAAACAAGTGTTCAAATATCCACAAGATCATTACCAATTTTTGAGTTTTAAATTTTATTGTCAGCGTAAGAAATTGAATTTAGAGCCATCATAGAGATTTCGAGCGTCAAAAATGCTTTTAGATAAGGATTTGAGGTGACGTGCAGTTTTTTTGTTTTCATAAAGCCTAGAAACTTCATCCAAGATTAATTTACAGAGCTGGGCTGCATTTAGTTTAGGTACAGTGGCGGCCATACCAGACCCCTTAAAAATTTTCCTTTTTTCTTTAGTTCTGTAGACCATTCTAAACTGTAGTTCTTCATAGGAAAAACACTGGAAATGCTTATTTTCTTTTGAAAAACAAAAGAAAATGCTTGAGGAATGGTAATTGTTAGGGAACCTGGCTCTGCTCTCAATTCTCAGGCCACCCATGCTGTACACAGTTTCCAAGGTTCATCTTCATGCTTCGTAGAGGTGGTAGTCGTAATAGTTACATTCCATGGATTACAATCGAGGTATTGCACTTTGAAGAAATTAGGGATTCATTTCATTACGGAATAATTTGGAAAAGGAAAAATAAGTAAGTAAAGCCTCACCTTAAAACCCACTGAAAATTGCAGTTGTGGTGTCGAAAAACCTTCAAAATCGATTATCTAGGCCTTGAGCATGTGGTTGTAAAAAAACAAAAAAAGGATTTAAAGATTTACAAAGTGTATAATGTAACAAATTATCTAAACCGTCCATTTTGTCCTAACAATAAGTGTTATGGATACAATTTTTGAGCTTCAAATTTTATAATCAGTGTTGAAAATGATTTTAAAATTATCATAAAAATTTCCGATGCCCAATGCGTTTTCAAGATGAGGATTTGAGGTGAGCCTCTGCTTTGTTACACTTTTCATGAAGCACATGGCTTATAGAAACTGCATCATTTGGAAAATATTTCATTATGCAGCAAATAATTTGTGTCAATAATGGTGTGTATCTATACTATTACCAACGTTTCAAAAACCGATTTAGATTAGGAATCATTCTGGACCAAGAATATATCCAAATCAACCCGTTTCTTGTTAGGATTTGGAATTGGCCCAATTTCCATAAAAAAACCAACAATTCTGTCAGGGAATCAGGCGATCCGACTTCTGAACTGATTGGATCGTCCCATTCCCACACCTTTTAGTTTTTTTTGTTCGTTTTTTTTTTTTTACTTTTTTCTTTCTTTTTTAAGACATTGATCTTTACTAATCGCAACTTAAGTTAACTGTTATTATATAATATTTGATTTAACAAATAGATAATACTATAATCTCGGATCGAATTGACGTCTAAAATTTTTAACGGTATTGAGGCTCTCATCTAACTTTTTAAGGGTAGATATCCTTTTCATTTTTGAATTATTAGCCAGATATAAATTTGGAGCACCTGGCGGGTATCCAGTCCGTTGCCAATAGAAAGTGTCTATGGGAAAATTGTTCTAGAGAACTCGGAGAACTTCATCGGGCGATTCAAACTTCTAATAATCCTTTCTTTGATATTTCGCAAGAACTGACATCAGCACACTAGCTAATAACTACAATAAACGCTTGCATATTGAATTTGGGTCAATTTAAAGAATTGTATTTTGTATTTCAAATTTTCTTTATATAAATATAATTCTTTTGAAAATTAGAGAACCTATTTTTGAAAAATAGGTGAACCTAATAAAAATATTTTAAAAAAAATTTATAAAAAATAAATTAATCAAAATACTTCTAAAAATTATAGGGATATTTTTATTAGTTTATGTTTTACGAATAGTTTTTTAATATTTTTGTTAGGTGTGCTTTGATGTAAAGAGTGGATACTTCAAATTTCAAATAA